AGGATGCAAGAATTGGTGTGATATGAGCCCTACAGTTTGTATTTGTTAAAATATGAGCAGCAGTGTTCTGGACAAGCTGTAAAAGAGATACCATGTTTTGGCTAAGGCTTGTATACAGGGCATTGCAATAATCCAGGCGGGAGAAAACAAAGGGATGTATTACCTTTTCTAAATCAAATTCAAAATTCAAATTTATTTATATAGCACGGTCTCACAACAAACAGTTGTCTCAGGGTGCTGCACAAAAGTCCAAGATCTTAAGAAACACAAAATCCAACTTGTTCCACACCAAGCAAGCATGAGCAACAGTGGGGAGGAAAAACTCCCAGGTGGAAGAAACATCTGGCAGAACCAGGACCGGTTGGGGTGATGGAGAAATAACAAGTAATACAGGGGAACAAAAGGAAATGAAGGGGGGGGTTGAGTCAAGTGTCAGGTCAGAGGCTTGAATCCAGCCCAGGAATCTTCACATGGACGTTTGCATGATCTTCCATGGGCGCGTTGGTCCCCCCAGGCACTCCTGCCTCCCTCATGGTTCACATGAGCAGTAATAGGACCCATGGCTCCAGAGGTGGGAGGTCCTCAGGTGGGAGTGCTGGTGGTTGCGTGACCCTCCATGTCAGCCCTGCGAAAGACCGGCGACCTCACTAGGTCCATCCCTCATCAGGACCCGAGCCAGGACGGGCTCCGGAGAGCCGCACAGTATGGACCAAGGAGGGGAGGAGAAGACCCAAGGAGTTAGAGATATGTAATAAGATATAACAAAATAAACCAGGCAGAGAGTGAAGAAAAGAGTGGAAGATAGAAGATGCCGGTGCCTGATGGGTGATCCCCCAGCAGTGTAGGCCTATAGCAGCATAGCTATGGATGACTATGGTTCAGGGTTGAGGGTGAATCAGAGTGGGATAGTACCGATTTGATTATAGTAAATGGAAATAGCAAGATTTAATGATTTGATTAACATGTGTTTCAAAGTTTAGATGGGGATCGAATGTGACACCTAGATTTTTAGCTGTTGTTTTAATATTGGCTGCCAGGAGACCGAGAAATGATAGGGGTCTTCCTGCTAGCTCGTTGGGACTGAAGATAATTATTTCGGTTTTATTTGAGTTTAATTGAAGAAAGTTAAGTGACATCCATTCCTTAACGGCGGAAAGGCACTCTGCTAGGACACTCACATGGCTAACATTGTCTGGCTTGAAGGACAAGTATATTTGGGTGTCATCAGCATAGGAATGATATGATATCCCATTAAAGTGGTGGATTGCGTTTCCTAATGGGAACATGTACAGCGAGAATAAGATGGGACCAAGAATGGAACCTTGTGGCGCGCCGCACATCAGTGGAGCCAGGGATAAGGCATTATTTCCGATGGAAATGGAGATTTGTCTTTCTGAGACATAGGACCTGAACCAACTCCAGTTCCAGATATGCGGACGTATTGTGTTAGTCTATTGATCAGGATGTTATGATCAATGGTGTCAAATGCGGCACTGAGGTCGATGAGCAGTAATACGCTGCATTCACCAGGATCTGCAGACTTTAATAAGTCGTTGGTGATTTTGACCAGAATGGTTTCTGTACTATGTCATTTGCAAAATCCTGACTGGAATTGGTCGATAATGTTATTATTGTTGAACACATCTAGCAATTGGGTCAGAACCATCTTTTCAAGAATTTTAGATATGAAAGGAGGTTTTGAAATGGGCCTTTAATTTTGTGGGATTGCATGGTCAAGATTGGACTTTTTCAATAAAGGCTGAATAGTGGCTTTCTTGAAGTAGTCTGGGACTTGGTCAGAAGAAAGGGAGCAATTGATAATTCTAAGAAGGCTAGGGCCCATAGTATTGATTACTTATTTTAGTGATGTGGGTATGATGTCTAGAGGGCTTGAAGATGAGCGCATGTACAACACGGTATCGATTAAATCAGGGAGTGAAACTTGGTGAAAGATGCTAAGTAGAATGGGACGGACAGGATACTCTGCAATATTGTGGATGATGGAGGTGGGTGGTGCAATGTTGGTTCTAATGTCATGGATTGTTTGCATAAAGAAAGAAAAGAAACTTTTCACAGTCGATATGTGAAGTGGTCAGAAGGAATCTGGGATTATGGTTATTACTAGTGATTAGTTTGGAGGAAAAGTTAGCTCTTGCAATTTTACTTTTGTTATTATAAGAAGTTAAGAGGCCTTTCATATGTAAGTAGTGGACATGGAGTTTTGTGTTTTTCCACTTCCGTTCGGCTTTTCTGCCCAGCCTTTTAAGTACTCTTAGCCTGTCATCAACACATGGAGAGGTGTTAACAGGGGGTTTAATTCTTGTTTTAATGGGGGCTACAGTATATAGTGTGATTTGACAGCTATTATTGAAGCCATTAAAGGAGAAGTTTGTTTTTTTTCAACCTGGTCCTTATTTCCAGCATTAGTATGTAGATCTACTCACCCATAAAGGTTTGGAGTAACTTGGAGTCCTTCGGACGCTTTTAGATCCACACACGATCAGCGTATATCCATACAACGCAAGTGATTGGGGCATCCACAATACAGCCTCTAAATAACGCATTATCTGCCGCGAAACTCTTTATTAAAAAAGAATCGCCAGCACTAGTCCCCTGTGAGTCCAAGTTGCTTTGTTTACATTCCAGGCTTTCACTGGGGTGACGTCACCCAGGCGAGCAGCCACAGGCGATCAGCTGTGTTTGTTTACACAGAGTTTGCTGCTGCTAGTTTTGCGCATCATGGCAGAATACTTATCAGATGCATTACAGTACAGTATTTTTTTAAAGCAGCTGTGTCCTGGTGCTCGGGCGTATTCACCCAGTTTGTTGATTAAACAGGAAAGAAAACTTGCTCTGGGTTCACTAAGCTAACTCTAGCTCCGAGGCTGCTCACAGCTGCTTTAAAAAAATTCTGTCTAGGCCCTGCTCCATATGTTAAAACTAACTTTTAACTGCACCACCTACTGATTCTCCATGAAACAGGATCATTTTTTTCTAACTCCATTCTGCATTGTCCAATTGGCCACCAAAATTTAAACCTCTGATAAACTTCCCGCCTTGAACAGCTCCATATGTCAATATTAACACAGGGTCATAGCACCACCTATTGATTCACTGTGAAACATCATCAGGTCCCGAGTTCTCAAGTGCTCAGGCCTGCACAGTGCTGCTTCGCAACCCTAGTTTTTAAATTATATTTTTCCTTTTTAACAAACCAAACTCAGCATGTTAGGGTCAACCATGCCCTCTCTGACCCCAAGTCGATCAGTACGGGTTCTCCCCAGGCCTGTGTCAGGTCCCTAGTCTTCTTCACATGATATACTAACGATTGCACAAGAGTCCACCCTGAGAACTAAGTCACAGCCATCCTCGGCATTATACACAAAGACAGTAGCCCGTCAGCATATCATACCGAAATTGAAAGATTTGTACAGTGGTGTAAAAACAACCCATGTTTACAGTCTCTGCTCCAGACTCCAACAGCAACTGTACTTTTTACACTGACTCACGGGGTATGGAGTGGAGCCAAAGTTTATGCTGTTACTCTACCAGGCTGTATTAGAGAGCTGGTATGTTAACATGACTGTAGATCAACCGTCTGGTACAGACTGCCTGAAAACTGTGGAGGTTAGAAACCATCTGTCCCTCCAGACAGCATATGACTATGTGTCTGACCCACAGTCAACTCACAGTCTTCACCCAGAGTTCCAGCATTTACCCTCTGGCAGAAGATTGAGGGTCCCCAAATGTAAGCTGAACTGTTATAAACGTTAAATTCTGTCCATGTCTATTAAGCTCCTCAACAACAATATGTAATAAGGGATGTGTAATATGCAGTGTTGGGGGTAATGCGTTACAAAAGTTCTCAAGTGCTCAGGCCTGCACAGTGCTGCTTCGCAGCCCTAGTTTTTAAATAATATTTTTACTTTTTAACAAACCAAACTCAGTATGTTAGGGATAACCATGCCCTACGGTAATGTGTTACAGTAATATATTACGTTTAGGCAGTAATGGAGTAATATAACACATTAGTAACTATATTTGGGAATATTATTACAGTTACTGAGTCCGGTAAGGCGTTACAATCCGAGCTGTCACACAGGCGGAGGTTTCGAAAAAACAACCCAGGCGCAACAGCCGTAAATAAAGGGGAGAAGAAGACGGTTTTAAATCAACAGAAGAAGAAGAAGACAGCAAGATGGCAACAACAACTGATAATTCAACGTTTTTTAAGTGGTTATACTTGCACTATTTTGAATTTGTCACAGAAATGGATAAAAACCTTACAGTAAGGTGCACTTTATGTGCTGGTGGGAGACCGAGGGAACTGTCTACGGCTAAAAATAATACAAGTAACCTCAAGAAACACCTGGAGAGAGTATACAGCAACCTTAAGCTAGAGGCTAAACAACCTCTTGCTAGCAACAGACGGAAGATGATGGCGTGAGCAAATCTAAACAACTTAAGTTGGATTTCTCCAGACCAGAGGTGAAGATGTTTGACCCAGGAGAAGTGAGAAGGCTGGTGGCTGAGTATGTCGTGGAGGATGCGCTGCCTCTTTCTACAGTTGAGTCGCTGGCGTTTCAAAAGCTTGTGAGCAAAATCCCTGTTCGATCAAGTGACAAGGTAAAAACAAATCTCTAATGATATAGTCCTATTGTTAAGGTATAAACAAATTTCCACAGATAGTTCATTTAAGATGACACACTACAGGTGGTGTTAGAGGTGATTCAATGATTAAAAATAGTTTTAACTTGTTAAGTCAGTTGTGTTTGCAGAGGGATTTTCATGGTTGTTATTGTCACATCATCTCAGAATACTTTAACAGTTAAGTAAAACAATAATACATCTCCATGTTTTACAATACTCATAAATGAGACTGTGGGTGGTAATGAACAAAGCCCTAACTAAGAAAACATATAGATAGAAATATATAAAGTTATGAGTCACTACAGATTTGTGTCTGAGTGTCTGAGGAAAAATCATTCACATATATATATATGCTCCCCTTAGGCAACATTATAAGACAGCACCACATACAATTCCACTGCTATGCAGACGACACCCAATTGTATATTTCCATGAAGCATGATGAATCTAATCGCCTAGTTCAACTTCAGGAATGTCTCAAAGATATCAAGGCCTGGATGACCCAAAATGTTCTACTTTTAAACTCAGACAAAACTGAGGTTGTTGTAATTGGCCCTAAACATCTCAGAGAAACACTGTCTGACCAGATAGTCACTTTGGATGGTGTCAGTCTGGCTTCCAGCTCCACTGTGAGGAACCTTGGAGTGTTGTTCGACCAAGACATGTCATTTGACCCCCATATTAAACTAGTGTCTAGGACGGCTTTCTTCCATCTGCGCAATATTAACAAAATTAGAAACATCCTGTCTAAGCAGGATGCTGAAAAACTAGTCCACGCGTTTGTAACCTCTAGATTAGATTACTGTAACTCTCTATTAGCAGGATGCTCCATGAAGACTGTTAAAAGTCTCCAGTTGGTCCAAAATGCTGCAGCACGAGTGCTGACAGGAACTAGAAGGAGAGATCATATCACTCCTGTCTTAGCTTCCTTACATTGGCTCCCTGTAAAATTTAGAATAGAATTCAAKATCCTGCTCCTCACTTTTAAAGCCCTCAACAATCACGCCCCCTCATATATCAAAGAGCTGATAAAACCTTATTATCCAAGTAGATCACTTCGTTCCCAAAACACAGGCTCTCTGGTGGTTCCAAGAGTCTGTAAGAGTAGAGCAGGAGGTAGAACATTTAGCTATCAGGCTCCTCTCCTATGGAACCAGCTCCCACTCTGGGTTCGGGAGGCAGACACTGTCCCAGCATTTAAAGTAAAACTAAAAACCTTCCTCTTTGACAAAGCCTATAGTTAGKKCTGGATCAGGTGAGTCCTGAACCATCCCTTAGTTGTGCTGCTATAGGTTTAGACTGCTGGGGGAACTCCCATCATGCACTGAGCACTTCTTCACTTCCCTCTGTCTCTCTGTCTCTCTGCCTCCCCACACCTGTTTATTTATTTATTTATTAGTTTTAACATGTCATCATGTCAAAGTGTCACTTTGTCCTCCCATAGTCCCTCTGGCTCTTCTCTCTATCTCATTTCAGCCCTGATAGTGATTGGTGCCCAATTGTTCCCGGTCTCTCTCTCTYCACCTCATCTCTCTCTTCTCTCCCCCGCTTTCCACCCATCTCTCCTTTCCTCCCCSCTTACTTTTCTTTCCTCACCCCAACCGGTCGAGGCAGATGACCGCCCACATTGAGACTGGTTCTGCCAGAGGTTTCTCCCTGTTAATGAGGGAGTTTTTCCTCTCCACAGTCGCCTGTGCTTGCTCATTGTGGGAACTGTTGGGTTTCTCTATGTTAATATTGTTTTAAGGTCTTGACCTTTAAATGTAAAGTGCCTTGAGAYAATRTAAATTATGAATTGGCGCTATATAAATAAAATTGAATTGAATTGAATAAAGGGGTTGCATCAGCTGTGCTGCCTGCGAAATAAAGCTGTGGTAAAAGTTCACCATGCTCAAAAACTCCTGCAGAGACTTCACTGAGAGTGGGTGTGGGAAGTTTAGGACAGCGTCCACCTTTGAAGGGAGAGGGACTGCACTGTCCTTAGTAATGCAGGGTCCCAAGAAGTCAGTAGCCATCAGCCCAAACTGACACTTGGCTGGGTTTGTAATCAGGCCATGCTGACTGAGTGTGTCAAAGAGTGTCCATAGGTGAGATGGGTGGTCTGCCTTGGGAGTGCTACACAGCTGTCACAGCGTTATTCTCTCGGATTGTCGGTTGACAAAGTATCTTTACAAAAATCCAAATTATATGTAGCCTAAAAGCATGTATACAAAAAACATTTAACTAAACTAAAGAAGTCTAGTCTATCGAAGTCTATCAAAAACTTGTTATCGAAACCAGAATTTTGGTATTGTGACAACACTAATGCTTTAGTATGGTATTGGAAATTTGTCTTTTGTGTATGTATAATTGCATGAGCAGACATCTATTTGGAGGACTGACCTAATTGATTATCTAAAAGGGCAACTTTAGGGTTTAACATGATTGCTTAGAGACTTTAACTTTATGGTCTTGAGAAACCACAACTTTATAGTATCTCTGGTTGGGATCTCACACCTGGGGTCTTCCACAAACTTGGAAACACAGGATGTCTCCTCCACTCAGTGAAACAACAGAAGGGGAATAAATACCTTTGCATGCTTACTGGGAGGGTGCTGTGAGTTATAAGTACACAGATTCTCCCATGTTCTTTGCTCATTTGTGCATGTCATTCAGGTGATGTGTACTGTGAGTCCATTTGCAAATTCAGAATTAAACTTACAGAAAGAAGTGTTTGACTTTGTTTCACAGAAATTGCCACCACAATATCTTTTGTTCACTTGCATAGATATTTTTGCCTTTGCCTTATACAAGGAAACTTTTCATTACCTTCACCTTGCTTCACCTGAACACCATGTGTGTGCGTGTAAGTGAATGAGTTTCAAAATGGCAGCTGGCCACTTTGAAGACAAAAGTCCCCTGGAGTGGCGGGACCATGTGGCTGAGATCATGTGTGTGTTCAGTTTGGGGGGATTTGTGTGTGAGGTGTCGGCGCCAGTTTAGAGAAAGTACTTACAAAGAAAGAGTCTGTGAACAGCATAACGGAACTAACATTAGCTTTCAAATAACGTATTACCAAATATCACAACAACACAAGTCAAACTTATAAACATCACATGAAATAGAATTAGACTGTCCTTTGCTTAGTCTGGTGTAATAATAAAGCCTAGTTTTGTTACCCATCGATGAAAAAGGGGGAAAGGTCCTTTTTGATGTGCTGTTTGAAGTCCAGTGAAGTGGTCTTGTTGGTTTGTGGCTCGTGTTTTTTTGCATCTTCTGTTCAGACTTTGTGTTGTGGCCAATTGCTCATGATGAAGTTCTTAGGCAGGCTCTCGCGTCACTGTCCTCTGGAAGGCTTAAGCAGTCTGCTCCAGGCAGGCCTGCTTGAAGTTGGAGAGCTTGCAGGGAGCGGTACCTAGTCCTCTGGGAGAAGTCAGTAGGGAAGAGAGATAGAGGAGAGGGGAAGCTCAGCTTTCATTGTCTTGTGACCTCATGGGTCATGGGGCACACAGTGACCAATAGTGGTTGAGAGTTGTGTCCAGGAGCAGTTTTAGCATGTGTGAAAATGAAGCACCCTGGGAGACAGTTCTGGAAGCTCTCTTTTGTCTCCAGAACAAAGGAGACATGTGGTCAGGCTTTTGGCTACACATGTAGGTCCAAATATTCTTCACAAACAGTAGGTCCCAACATTTTTAAACCATTTGATCAATTTACAATTGATGATTACAATTTAGATGTTGACTCAGACATCTTAAGTAACTCCTGGAACGATGTAATGAAATCTGGTGTTTTATATTTAAGCTGGTCAGATCATTTTTCCATATTCCAATAGTCTGTAATCAAGGTCAGTAAAGCTAAAGATTCCAAGAAAATATTACAAAGAAGAATTATGAGAAAATCAAATATGTTAAAATATGTTTAGAATTTCATGGAATGATTTATTAAAGGAAGATGATGCTGATTTTGTATATCAAAACTTCATGAAAGTTATTGCTATTAGTTTTAAAGGGGTAATGTGTAGATATTTGTGAAATCTAGAGGTGAATTTGCATGTTGCAGCTGAATACCCCTCACCCCACCCTCCCTTTCCAAACATGGAAGAGAACCTGTGGTGGCCTTCAGTTGTCATAAAAACTCAAAAGGCACTAGTTTGCCAAATCCGACATGGCAGCCTTTGTAGAGAGAAATATAAAGTATGTATATAGAGAGTTTGTTCTAGGGTAATAAAAACAACAATTCATACAATTTAGATGAAACAAACTAGGAAAAACATCACAAAAAATATTTTAGATTCAATTTTCTGCCAATTGTTCCCTTTTACCTTAACCTTACACAGTGATCCTTTAATGAATGTTTTCCAGTTGGCATGCTCATTAAGAAATACTGTCAAGACTTTAATAAGCCATGGTTTACTGCTGATTTGCTGAAGCTGCAATGAAAAAAAGTATTTTCTAGATAAATCACACCACTCTTACCCACA